TCATTTTCTTTTAGGATCTGAAATACTTCACTCCATGCTCTTCTTGACTTCATTGTTTGTGTTAAGAAGTCTGCTGTGATTGTAATAGGCTTTCCTTTATAGGTAATCTGTCTTTTCTCTCTGACAGCTTTTAGTATCCTATTCTTTGGATTTCTGGGATGGTGATTATTATATGTCTGGGTGTAGTTTTATTTTGGTTATGGCTATTTGGAGTTCTACATGCTTTACTAATCCTAATGTCAGTTTCCATTCTCATGTTTGGGAAATTTTCAGCTATTACTTCTGTGAATAGCATCTTGATATCATTTGTGTTGTTCCCTTCTTTTTCACTTATCCCTATCAGCTTTGTTGTTTTTCTTTGCATCGTCTTGTAGCTGTTGAATTGTTATTTCCTGATTCCTTGTTTTTTAAAAAAAGATTTTTCCTTTCCTGTTCACTAGCTGCAGTCTTGTCTTCGAGGTCTGAAATTCTATCTTCACTTTGTTGAGTCGGTTTTGACAATTTTTGATGAAATTTTTGATTTCCTGTGTATCTCTTTGAATCTGCCCACGTATTCTGTTTGTTTCTTAAATTATTCATCCAGGGAGTCTATATTTTTGTTTCATTCCTTTAATTTTTTAACTGTGTCTTCTTTAGATGTGTTCAGCATCTCTTTCATTACTTTTAACATTTCTTCTTTTACCTGGGAGATTATTTCTAGTTTGAATTCCTTTAACGTTTCCCAGAGTTGCTTCTTTATTTCAGTTGCTATTAATACAGGTATTTCAGGTGTATGGCATATATTTTCTCCTATGTACATGGCTCCTAAGCTTTCTTGGGATGGGCTGGAAGTTTGAGATTGCATTTTGGTCTTTTGTTTTGTCATTTTCCTATATTTCTGTGTTTCAAGTGTTGTTCTAAGTGTTGGAAATTGTCTCCTATGCCCTAGGTTTCTGGGACTGAATGGAGGTTGTTGAGCATGGTCCAGTCAGGCCTTTAGGCCCTCCCATTCCACCTTCAGTGTTCCAGGTAGCTGGGCAGGCATCTAACCACTGTGGATGATGGGCTAAAACTCTCCCTAGGCAAAGACCAATGCCCTGGAACTCACTTCACCTGCTCTCAACTCCCATAATTGAAGAAGGTCACTGGGCATAATATAGTCAGTCCACAAAACTCCCATGGCTAGTCTAGTGTGGCTGGGAACTGGGTGGGTCCAGTGAAGCAATGATCTTAAAGTCTCCCGGGGCTTGGGATGGTGTACTGGCTCACTCCAGCTACCAGCTGAGTTTCCCGGTTTGAGAGAAAGTCAATGGGCATGGCCTGGACAGACTTGAAACCTGTGAAGTGCAGCCTAGTGTAGCTAGGATCTGGGAAAGTCCTTGAGCTCTGGGAGCAATGATCTTAAAGTCTCCCAGGGCTTGGGACGGCATGCGGACTCACCCCAACCACCACCTAAGTTTCCTGGCTGGAGAGAAGGTCAGCCATCTCATTCTTGATAAGGAGCTAAAAACATTTTTGGAAAACAGAGAGCCTGTTTTACAAATGGTTCTGGGACAACTGATTTAAAAAAATAAAGGCATTTAGAAAATTATAGAGGCTACGAATGGCCAAAATAGGAATTCATTTGAAACAGAAGAGCATTAGAACAACAAAAACAAGTCTGGGCGATGAAGACAAGGCAAAAGGTGTCACAATCCCTTACTTGAAATTTTACTACAAAGTAAATTTACTTTACTGTTTTTACTGTGATAAAAACAGCATGGTACTGGCAACAAAACAGACCTAAGGATTGATGGAACAGATTAAAAGATGCAAAAACAGCTCCAAACATGCTCAGCTACCTTCTCTTTGACAAAGGAACCAAACATGTTCACTGAAAGAGAGATAGCTTCTTTAATAAGTGGTGACAGAAAAACTGGCATTCCAGATACCGAAGACTAATACTCGACCTATGTCTATCACTACTCACTAAACTAAAATTGAAATGGATCTGAGATCCTAATATTAAAACTGAAACACTAAATCTTCTAGAAAAAAAGAATAGGTATCACTCTTGAAGACAATGCGGTAGGCAACGATTTCATGAACAAAATCCCAACTGTCACAGAGAACCAACAACTGGGATATCATATTTCTTTTGCATAGCAAAAGAAACTACCAATGGAGTGAAAAGAGAATCCACAGAATGGGAAAAAAAATTGCCAGTTTTTTCCCAAAGGACTATTATGTAGAGTATATAAAGAATTGGGAAAAAATCAGATGCTTCAAATTAATTAATTAATTAATTAATTTTTACTTAAAACAAGAAAACAGTAGAAATTATATAGAATTTCAAAACAAGATAATAGGAAATTGACAGTGGCTAATTTATTGCATATTATTTTGAAAGTAGTTGCTCAGATTAAAAGCTATGGGTGTGAATAATTGATCAAACAATATAACACAAACTTTTTCAATGAACTAAAAGAAATTAGTAATATAATTATCTTAGCTGAGATATACATATATTTTTCCCCTTCCTTTTTTTCTCTCATCCCAGTTGTTCTTTTCTTTTCAGCAGTTTGTTTCCCTTTCACAGTATCTATTATAAATTTTGGATTATTTCAGTTTCTTGTACTAGGAAGATAATATGATGTTTACACGTGTGAGTTTGATGTATATCCTCTGTGAGTATGGTCTCATGTACCTATAAAACTCTTGAGATTATCGTTCTTTATAGCTGAGTAGTACTCCACTGTATAAAATACCACATCTTTTTAATCTATACCTCAGTTGATCAAACCCCCCAAATTTAAAGACTCAGTCCAAATAAGGACACCTGAGATGAATGTGCATTTCTCAGATATAGTAGAAATAGCAAATAAATATATGAAAAAATATTCTTCATCACTGTTTATTGGAGAGATGAAGATTAAAACAACCTTGAAATTACATCTCACTCCAAAAAGAATCACTAAAATCAAGAAACTGAATAATAAAAAATACTGGAATGACTATGGGGAAAGAGGAACTCTTCTCCACTGTTATTGGAAGTGGAGACTGGTGCAACCATTACCAACATGCAAATAACTACCAGTGCGATACTCTTTCACTGCAGAAGAAATGGTTGTCATAAAGAATACAAAACATAGGTGGGCACAGCTACTCAGAAAGCCAAGGTAGAAGGATCACAAGTTTAAGGTCAGTGAAATCGTCTCAGCATAAAATAAAATAAAATAAAATAAAATAAAATAAAATGTGGGAAACTAGCTAGAATGCTTGCCTATCTGGGTTGAGCCCCTACCACAGGGAAAAAATAAATACTGGTAAAGATGTGGGCATACAAGAAACCTTTACACCATTGATAAGAATGTAAATTAGTACAGCTAATATGAAAATCAATATGAAGATTCATCAAAAGCTGAAAATAAAACTAGCATACAATCCAGTCATACCACTCCTTGTTATAGTCTCCATACTACAGAAATACCCACATATCCAAATTTATTGTGGTATAGTGCACAATAGTCAAATTACAGAATCAGCCTAGGTGCCATCCACAGATGAATGGAGAAAGAAATGTGAATATATGCATAATGGAATATTATTCAGGCACAGAGAACAATGAGATCAGGTCATCTCCAAAGAATGGATGAAATTGGAGATCATTATGTTAAGCAAAATAAGCCAGACTTGGAGAAGTATCACTTGTTTTCTCTCTTAAGTGAAATCTAGTGGGAAAATGACAGCATAAAAGTATAAGGGAAATTATCAGAGAGGAAGAAGGGAGCTGAGGGGGAGGAACAGGCGGGCAAGGGAAGGCACGGGGTGTATTGGTCAGTTTTCTCATCACTGGGACAAAATGCCTAACATTCACAACTTTTTTTAAAAAATAGTTTTTGATAAAGTATTATGTTCACAAAAATCACACAAATAATGAGAGTACAACTTTTACAATGTTCATAAAATGGACACAACTCTGTAATTAGCACCTATTTCAAGAAACAGGATATCTTGAAAGTCACCTTAAACACAAAATGACGGTACCATACTATCAACTATAATCAGCAGAAATTACCGCATTGCATGAACAAGGTGTACTGTACAACAAAAAGACATTGAGGCTTCATAAACAAGATTTACAGCAGCAGCAGCAGGTCATATATCTGAACAGCACACCTCTGTCCTAAGCGCAAACAGTACTTAAACACGTAGGTCAGTAGATAAGGAGCATCTGTATTTCTATTTTCTCTTTAAGAAAATTAAAGTACTTCTAGAAATGAAAGTAAAAATGTGCCTGAGCCCAAAAGCCAAGTTAACAGGAGAAGATAAATTTGGTCACATTCAGTTTGGATTAAAAGGAAAAATTAAATGATATACATCTGGATTTTGTATCACGGGTATGCAGAAGGCTACATTTTGAAAACATTCTTGACAAAGTTAGTATTTTGCTATATTCAGTGTTGCATTGCAAAGAGTGGCTGTTTTTATTAATAGGGTTTTAAGAAATGTGAAATCTGTATTGAAAAATAATATGAAAGGTCCAATGCTCATTTGTTGCTGGAGATTTTCATAAGCTTTTCAACTCGAGTGCCACAGGAGGGTTAATTTGTTAAACAGCCAGCTCCTGAAGACATACCACATCTGCTAAGTGTGGTGGGGAGAGAAAACTTGGAGTCAACACTTGAGTACTTGAAGAGTTGTCCTGTGCAAGGAAGCAGGAGGCTTCTAGGTACTGTGCCTTCTCCAGGACAAGGTGCACATGCAGCTTATTGGACCCTATCTGGGAGGGACTCAAGGCCAGACTGGGAGGGGCCACAGGGCTGTGCTTCAGCCTGGAGGCTGATAGATGGTGGAGAGAGATGAAGGAGTGGAGCTGCTTCCACACAAAGCAAAGGGTAGATGCAGGAGCCTGGGACAGCACTGCTGCTGCCTGGGACTGAACACAGACAGGGCCAGGCTGTGACAGAGGTGTGGTGTAGGGAGGAAATAGCACCAACGGAAATGAAATAGTGAACTGGGGGTAAACATTCTCTCTGCAGGCAGACTAATACCTCGTGGGAACAAAAGAGTGAGAGAAACGGAAAGAGCAACTACAACTCTTTGGAAATACCCCGGAGCTGGCAGATGATGGACAGGCAAGTGAGAAGCTTCTGGGTTCCTTAGAAAAGAGGATCCTCAGAGGAAGGATGCGTCATTGGAAGGCGGGGAGGCAGGCCCCCACCAGGTGGCCACCAAGTCTGGGTGCTTGGAGGGAGGGGCTTTGAGCTGTGGGTTCCGAATGATCCCACCTGATACTATTAATGTTCCCTTTGAAATGCTTCTTTTTATAGCCTGAAACAAACCACTGAGACCCTGCTGTGTCTGTCACCTGTTGAAGTGGCCAATCTCAAAGAGGGGATCAATTTTTTTCGAAATAAGAGCACTGGCAAAGACTACATCTTGTACAAGAGTAAGGGCCACCTGAAGGCATGCAAGAATTTGTGCAAGCACCAAGGAGGCCTGTTCATAAAAGACATCGAGGACTTAGATGGAAGGTATCAAGCACTCTTTGCTCTCACTGGCGACTCTGCTGGCATTGTATTGATCTAGAAGTTTTAAATGAACCCATCAGCAGATTGTTTCCTACAGTAAACTTTGAAAGTTTTAATTCTTCATTTAAGATCTCTCTGATCTCAGAGCTCTACATTGGGCTTGTTTTTCCCTCCTGAGCTTATTTTCAATTTGATACAGAGTGAAATGTCCAGCTTCCATACATCTCTGTGTTTGAGTGTTTGCCTGTATATGGGAAGAGCTCACAGCCACCTCCTAGAAGACTGCTTTCCCTGTCCCCCTAAGAGCATAAGCGGGTAGGCCAGGGGTGCATTTCCAAACACTACTGGAAAGCAGAGAGGATTTTTCTGGCCGATTACAAAACAAAGACGGCAGAAGCCCAGCTGGCACTGTCCAATACAGTGACTCTCCTGGTGATTTCTTGGAAAGGCTAATGCTTTTGCTGTCTCCACCATATCCAGCATGCCTTTCTGGAGCACAGCAGCAATGCTGGGACAGGTTGGTTTTCTTTTCCAGAGATAGTAGCACTGCCTGGAGGCGAATGGAAAGATTCTTGAGCTTCTGCTCTGTCAGTCTGATGCTGTGAGTGGTTGTTAACCCCTTTCCAAGTTCTCTTCAGCTCAACTTAATCCGTAGGATTTTGGCCCTTACATTGGTCATTTTTTTTTCTTTCCTTTTTTTTTTTAAACCAGTCAAATTTAGCAGTGGGGGGCGGTGGTATACCAACTTTAGTGACACAAATGTTAATAAGTTCTGATAAACCACTGTCATCGGACCAGCCTCATTTTTCTTCCATTGTGTCATTAATCTTATTTCTCAGGGAGTTTATGGGCAGTTCAGTGCTGGTGTTCTCAGAGGGGGATGGGTGGTAATTCAAAAATTACCAGTTACAGCTATATAAAAGAAAGTCACCCAAGTCTAGAATGTCTGCACACCTGCACACTGGCTTCCTTTGCCACACAGATTAATTTCACAGCCCAAGCTCTATGCATTCTTAGATTTGTCTGCGTTAACCACTGATGCACCTGGAGCTTGTTTGGCCCTGCTGAATTGCCAGATTGACAAGGAAAGCATGGGCTGCCCCATTATATTTGCATTTCACGTAAACAGTGAATGTATTTTTAAAGTAAATATGTCCAAAGCAAATGATAGTGCATACTTTTAGCTGGCAAATCTGCTCTAGGAGAACCTATAGGCACTGGGTCAAGAACCAGTATGATCCCCTACTGTTTTTTTTCTCTGAATTCTGGTCAGAGAAGCTTCAAACATGGTTGTGTCTCTGTAATAATCAGGATGTGGACATTTTCTTTTTCCAATTGTAATTTTGAGAATCTGGTTTTTCTCTCTTCTTAGTAAGCTGTTTCACTAGTGGGTCTTTGGCTACCCATTTAAGGAAACATTGAGGTTAGTGGTTAATGTGTGGTCTCTTCTCCAACTGCTCGTTAGAGATATGTTTCTAGAATTCACCAAATCAGTAGCAAGCCTCATAGCCTCGCTAGGCCATGGTCCTCTCATTTATAAAGTGAAGATGAAAATATTACCTACTTTGTGTGGTTCCTGAGAGGATTAAATGTTGTCAGATTTACAGAAATTACTGAACAGGAAGTCATCTGTTGGTGTACAGTCATCAGCACCCAATAAATGCTCATATTTTTGTGAACTATTCCCTAGGCTTCTTGCATTGCTCATAGACAAGGACTATTTACAAGAACTCAGTAGTTTTGTACACAGCTTGATCACCTAAGTACACTGATTGTTCTGCCACACCCTGATCTTTTTCTCTTTCCCCCAAAGCTGTGGGAGTGACTGATGGTGATCATTTTGCTGCTAACTATGCAGGGCCCATTTTATAGCAGGTCTGCCCTGTCCTCTTTGCTGTTCTGAGAGCAGAGTCCGCTGTCTTGGCTGTGTCCCTACACATAGCTTGTTGACCTTTTGTGCCTTGAACATGCATCCCTGTGGGAATTTACACACCACATTCCTCCATGTGTATCTCCAGATCCCAAGATTTCCACTTGACTTGTCTTTGCCGCTGTTCATCTGCCTTTTCCAGGATTCAGCAAGAGTAGTGAATGACTTGTTCCAGCCGATCTGCCATTCTTGACGTAAAACCAGTCAACAAGTCATAGAAGCTGCATTTCTCATTTGTTAGGTCTAGGTTGTCGTAGCCTCTCCTGTGTGTGACACTGCTGTCCCTGCCCCCAAGAGCACAGGGTCCTGCCAGCTTTCCCTCCCAGGGCCCTGTCTGTTTGGCAGTGATGGTGCTAAATTCCTTCTTCATTTTTGAAATGTTGCTGGCTGCTCATTAATGAGAAAGGAGGTTTCATAAAGTAATCCTTAATAACATGAAATGAGGAATACACATTTTACCTTAGAGTTAAAAAAGAACATTTTCAAATTGGATATATGAAGGTCAGAATGTTACCACAGTTCATATATATATGTTAGAGTAGCCATTTTTAGTTTTAAAAAATTTGATGCTTCTGATTTGGGCTTATTTCTTGGTTGAAAATTCTTAAACTCTTAATAGAAAGACCATAAACACTACCAAAATAAAGAAAAGATGTTGAACTGTTTCTTCCTTACCTGTAAGCACACCATTCGTGAAAGCTCATGGACACTTTTCTTTTGCAAACTGGGGAAAGGTATTAGCCATCCTGTTTGGTTACAGTTTGGTGGCTGTTTTGAAGTAAAGTTGAATTAGCAAATAAAAATTATATATTCAATTACATTTAATGTATAGGCAAAAATTACTATAAATGTATCTTAAATATTGTATGAGACACACTCACCTTTAAAAACTATTCATTTTTATTTGAAATTCATACTTTAGTATCATGTGTTTTATCTGACAACCACAATCTGAAATTTTTTAAATTTTTATTAGTATATGTTTGCAGTATATAATGATCACATTCATTGTCAGAAGTTGGTACATATGTATAAGACAGCTTAATTCTCTTTACTTCTCCTTTGTCTCCCCTTCCATCTCATGGTCCCCTTCGCATTTGTAAAATATCTATCTCCCTGTTTCCTATTGTCTATCTTTTATTTTTCTCTATAAGTTATTTGTATTTTCGGTTTCTCATATAAGAGAAACCATATAATATTTAATCTTTTTTATCTGATTTATTTCTCTTTAACTTATGGCCTCAAAGTGCATCTATTTTCTATAAATGACTCTAATTTATCCTTCCTTATGGCAGAGTAGAACTTGATTGTATGTAAACACAATATTTTGTTTATTCTTTTATCTGTTGATGAACATGTAGGTCACTTTTAAGATTCAGCTATTGTAAGTTGTCTTGCTCTAAACATGGGTATGCATATGTCACTGTAATAACATTCAGAAGACATCTATAAGGAAAATAGTAGGGCTGAATGGAGTTTTTCTAAAGAATTTCCCAAGTGCTTGCACCCATTCCCACTAAAAGTGTAGAAAATTCCTTTTTTGCCAGCAGAAAAACCAGCATTTATTATTAAAGTTCTTGATGAAGGCCATTCTCTCTGAGATAAGGTGGGATCCCAGTGTTATTTTAATTTGCATTTTTCTAATAGCAAGAAATGTTGAGCATTTTTCATGTATTTATTGATAACTCTGTACAACTTCTAAGTCTTTTCAGTTGCCCAGTTCTTGACTGCATCTTTTATTTTGAGGGATCTTAATTTTTTTTGAGCTCATTATATGCAGATATTTGTCCACTGTCTGTGGAGTATCTGGCAAATTTTTTTCCCATTCTATAGGCTATCTCTTCACTCCGGTGGTTTTTTTCTGTGTTGAACAGAAGCTTTTTAATTTGCTATGATCGCATTTGTTAATTCTTGATGTTACTTCATGTGCATTTTGGGCTCTGTTCAGAAAGTCCTTACCTATTCCCATGCCTTCAAGAGTTTTACTTATCTTATCTTTCAGCAGGCCTTCTGGTTCCATATGAACTTTAATATTGTTTAATTCTATGAGGAACACTGTTAGTTTTGTATTAAATCTATGTATCAGTTTTGGAAGTATTACCATTCACAACACTAGTTCTGCCTATCTAGAAACAGGGGACATCTTTCTATTTTTTTGATGTCTTTTTTGATCTCCTTTTTCAGAGTTCTATAGCTTTTGTTGTAGGCATTTTTCACTTACTTTTTAAGTTAATTGCTAAGTATTTAATTTTTCTTAAAGCTATTGCAAACTGTGTTGTTTTCCTAATTTCTTTCTGGTGGGTTTATTATTGGTATATAGGAACTCTATTGATTTTTGTGTAATATTGAATACTGCTACCTTGCTGAATTTATTAGTTCTAGAGTCCTTTGGTGGATTTTTTGGGTCTTGTTCATGAAGAATTATGTTTTATATTTTAAATTCTTCCTTTCCTATATGTACTCCTTTTATTGTATTTTCTCTTGCCTGACTGCTCTGGCTAAAGTTTCAAAGAGCGTATTAAAGAGGGATGGTGAGAATGGACATCTTTGTCTTGTTCCTGATTTTAAAGGAAAAGCTTTCAGTATTTTCCTATTTAAAGTGATGTTACCAGTGGTTTAGTCATAAATATGTTTTATCAGATTGAGATGAAGTCCTTCTATACATACTTTCTTTAGGGTTTTTTTTTTTTCATAAACAGATGTTAGATTTTGCTGAAGGCTTTCTGTATGTATTGGGATGATTATGTCATTTTTCATCTGTCTATGTGATAAAGTACATTTTTTCCTTTGTTTATATTGAATCATCTTTGCATCCTCAGGGTAAAGCCTGTTTGGTCATGATACATGATTCTTTTAATGATTTGTTGCATTCTATTCACAGTTGAGTATTTGCTTGTTGAATATTTTTGTATCTATGTTCATTAAAGATATTGGCCTATAGTTTTCTTTTTAAATTGAGTCCTTGTCCCATTTTTTTTTTTGAGATGGGATCTAGCTATGTATTTTAGGCTTTTTTGAACTCACCGTGTAGCACAGGCTGGTCTCAAACTTGAGGTGATCCTCCTGTCTTCTGAGTGCTAGAATTGCAGGCGTGTACCACCATGCCTGGCTGTTGTTTCAATTTTAAATAAAAATAATGCTAGTTTCCAGGAATTAGTTTGCCAGTATTCCTTCCCTTTAAATGTCATTAATGATCTTGAGGGGTATTAGCATTAGACCTTCCCTTGAATTCCAGTAGAATTCACAGGTAGATTCAGTAGGTCCAGGGCATTTCTTAATTGGTAGGTTTTTTTTTTACTACTGCCTCAATTTCATTGCCTATTATTGGACTATTCAAGGTTTTTTTTTTATACCTTCTTGGTTCATTTTTGGAAATTCCTATGTATCTAGAGGTATACCCATTTCTTCAGTCTTCTCTGATTTGATGAAGTGCAAGTTTTTGAAGTAGTTACCAATAGTCTTTTAAATTTCAGTGGTATCCATTGAGATTTTGTCTTTTTTGCATCTAATTGCATAGTTATAGGTTTTTTTCTTATCTTTTTTGGTAAGATTTGCTTAAGGTTTGTTTATGTGTTCATTATTTCAAAGAACCAGTTCTTCAACTCATTGATTATTAGAATTGTTTTTTTTTTTTTTTTTTTTTTTTTTTTTGTCTTTTTCATTTTTATCGGTACCGGGGATCAAACTCACAACCGCCTGCTTGCAAGGCAGGTACTTACGCCGCTGAGCTAAATCCCCAGCCCTCGGAATTGGTTTTTTTTTTAGTCTCAATTTCATTAATTTTTGCTCTGATCTTTAAATTTTTGTCTATTTGTTCTAGCTTTGGCTTTGGGTTGCTCTTATTTTTCTAGGACATAGAGATATATCAGTAAGTCATTTATTTAGGCTAGTTTTATTTTACTGATGTGAGCATTCATGGCTATAAACTTCCCTCTTATGACTGCTTTCACTGTGTCCCATACACTCTAGTATGTTTTACTGGCATTATTGTTTGGTTCTTGAAACTGATTTTTTCTGTGACACTAATTGTTCAAGAGTATATTGTTTAACCTCTGTGTGTTTACATAACCTTTTTTTTTTTTTTTGGTTTCCTTTGCCACTGATTTCTAATCTTATTGTACTACAGTAGGGTGTAGTTGATATTTCTGATATTTCCTTGTGCTTTTTGTTTTTGTATAGCTTGTGATCTGTGGTATTGAGGTCTGCCACTTGTACTGATGTTATCTGATCTCTTATATCCAGTAGCGTTTGTTTTGTGAAGCTGGTTGTATCTGTGTTCAGTGCATATATATTTATAATTGTCCTACTTGAATTGTTTTTTAACCAAAGGACCTGTGTCTGTTCTGATCAGTTTTTGCTTGAAACCTACTTTCTCTGAAAGCAGGATAGCTACTCCTGCTTGATTCTGGATTCTCATTCCATGGTGTGCTATTTTCCAATCTGATTTTTTGTCTGTAAATTTTGGGGGAAATTAAATGTGGTTTTTTTTGCAGGTCCCAGGGTATGGCTCAGAGGCACAGCACCTGCCTGGCAAGTGCAAGATCATGAGTTTCATTCCCAATACCAAGATAAACAAATTTATGTTGCTTGCATGTAGCATACTGTTGGGTTTTGTTGTTTGGTCTAGACTGTTAATCTGTGTGTTTTACTGGGGAGTTAAGATCATTAACTGGTAGTTATTACTAAAAGGTATTGACTTATTCCTGTCATTACCTTACTTTCCCGTCTCATTCCTTTTGGCCCTTTCTGCATATCTGATAACCATTCCTGATGTATTTATTCCACTATATTTTTGGCACTATTGGCTTCACTGTCTCTTTCTAGGATATCCGTGAGAAAGTTTTGGCATACTGGTTTTGGTAGTCATGATTTCTGAAAATGTTCTTTGTCATGAAAAGACCTTATTTCTTCACAAATTTTGAAAGACAGCTTTCACAATCTATTAATCTGGGTTGGAGGTTGTTTTCTCTTAGGGCTTATAAGTCTTAACTCCAAGTTCTCCTGGACTTTAATATGTATGTTTAGACATCTATGGGTTTACCTTTATAAGTAATTTATTACTTTTTTCTAACAGTTTTTAAGTTTCTTTGTATTTATGTTTACAGTTTTCTTTTTACATTGAGTCCTCTCATTTTTGAGTCAGTGTTTGGACTCTGACGAGAATGTTTGGAGAATTACTTTTCTGATCTTGGCTATGTGAGGTTCTATATGCCTTGCATCTCCATGTTAAATTCTTTCCCCATACATGGGAAATTTTCTGTTCTGATTTCTATAAACAGTTTTTCATGCCATGTTCCCCAACTTCTGATTTTTCACTAATTTCAGTTAACCTAAAATTGGTCTTCTTTTGTCATTAGCAGTTTTTGGATCCATTTTCCATATTCTTGTATTGCTGTTAAGCTATCTTGGAGAATACAGTTACCTGAATACGCCCTATTTTCTAGTTCTGACAATCTGTTCTTATACTGTTCTCACCTCTGTTGCCCATAATTTCAATAGACTTTTAAAAATATCTCCTTGGTAACTTTCATGGACTCTAATTCTTTGTTAAACTGGTCTTTTCTGTTTTTATTGTGCTGTTTAGCTCATCTGGGTTTTAATTAATGTCTTCTCTGAGCTCATTGATCATTTTGTTTATCAAATCTATTATCTGCTTATATCATCTTTGAACACACTGAGTACTTTATTAATCCGTGTATTAATCCTCTTCAATTTATCACTTTCTACAATTCAGCTGTTTGGATTTGATCCCTTATAACCTTCCTCAGCCAATGCCCTATGTATCAGCTTTGGAAAATTGGAAGTTTTGGGAGGTACTTTGATGCCTTCCTTTTTGATATTTCTACTGTGTGTGTGTGTGTGTGTGTGTGTGTGTGTGTGTGTGTGTACACTTAGGGTTGTGGATTGACTATAACTGAAGGATTTTGTTGCTTGTGCAATATCTTTGTTAGTGTCTGCTTTCTGGTGTTAGACATTCTGTGTAGTTTATAGACAAGGATTATCTTCAAGAATTCATACTGATTAGACTCTGTTCCATTCTATATGATAGCATGAAGTTTGAAGACATAGGCAACTACTTTGAAGACAATAAGATTCACTAAGATACCCATTCTGGTTTGACTATTGTCTTCTTTGGAAGTCCTGTAATGTTTACAATGCCTAAGTTTTATTGGTCTTGTTCTCTACTGTTTTGTCCAACTTTATAATATCTAATAAGATAGACAATTCTTTTTAAGGAAACAAGGGACAACGTTGATAACCATTGTTGATACACTTGTACTCTGTTCTACACCATGTGCTATGTCTATCCTTGGTATTGACTGACAGCTTTGTTTTGCCATATTTGACTGTATTCTTCCCCCCGCCCAAAGAAAGTAATAAGCACTAAGGAGTAATAAAATCCAAGATGTGTAAATTTTGTTGTAAAAAAGAGAGGGGAAAAAAAAAAAGAAAAAGAGCTCTAACGGATATAACAGCAAGTGTGTTTGGGGGTGTTAAATAGCTGACTTTATCAATGTTTTTGGAACATTGAACACAGCTGTTTGCAGTCTCCCTGTTTGAATGTCCACCTTGTGTTCTTTGATACTGTGATTTGAGGAACTATTTTCAAGAAGATAGTGTGTAATCTACTAGCAGGTGATTTCTTACTGTTATGTTTTTTTGTTTTGTTTTGTTTTGTTTTGTTTTGTTTTGTAGTTCTGTATTGCGTGTACCCTTACGCCGCTTTGGTTTGTTTTGTGTTTTTCTCTTTTTCCTCTTAAATAAAAAAAAAAAAAAGAATTCATACTGTTTTTGTGTTCAGCTTGATCATTTAAATACTTGAATATTTTGAGCAGTTAAGTCTTGATGTAACCAATTCTCATTTTTACTCTATTTTACTGACAGGCTAACCCCATTCTTTTAGTTCTCCTGCATAGGAGAAACTACTTCATTCTGAAGATGACTTTATTCTGTTGCTATCAATCTCTAACACGTGTCATTTTAGTGACAGCAAGTTCATCTTGATTTTTTAAATTCCACATTGACAATTGCATTTTAGTGGGCATTTGAGTACTATCCATATTTTTTCATATATTTTGTGTTCAGCCAACTAATTTCATTGTCAAACAGTGCATTTAATGCACAATGAATGTTAATTTTTATTTCTGATATTTTATAAGCCTAAGTATACTTTTTTCATCCAGGTCTGTTAAATGTACAAAACACAACTGGAAGTTAGACGTGAGCACTATGAAGTATATCAATCCTCCGGGAAGCTTCTGTCAAGACGAGCTGGGTAAATACCATTAATATCGATCCGTGCATTTTGCTCTTGTTACTGTGGTTCTTCTTGTTGAAATATTTCCAAATTTTCTTGAAGCTTTGGATATATTCTGACTTAAAAATGATAGATGCCTTAAAAAGGATCAATATGGAGAATCCTACACAGAGGATTTCTTAAATACTACTTTCATTTATTCATTGGTTTCACAAATATTTACTGAGACCTTGCCAACTATAAACATTGCACTAGATACAGAGAGGTACAAAATGGTAAGTAGTCAATGTTGATGAAAATTTTACGTGAAGCAGTAGATAGGACAATCTTGTAGATAATTAAGAACAAGGATATGACATTTTTCTTGAGAGGCACAGTGCATAACAGTGGGCCTAACACTTTATCTGTGAAAATACACAAGGTAAACTATGTTTGTGTCCACAATCCTCCCAGCAGTTTGATGACATGTCACAATGTTGGGAAGTGACATACTTGAAATAAAATGGCTCTTTCTGGGATAGAAAAGAAGCTAGAGTTCTGTCCTATGCTAAGCACTCTGGGTCCTTTCCTACTCTACTCTTTCCTGCAGAAAGACCGTAGGGCTTGGTCTTAGGGATAAACTTGTGTCTGTTCTGTTAGAAGGTCAAATTATAGCAAATCTAATTTTTCAAATCTTAATTACAATTTGAAGTAATATGCCATCCACGTGCAAATTCTATTTATAGCCAGAGGAAAGAAGTGTAATGTACAGAAACAACCTGATGGTATTTGTTTTATAAGTCATTTTTTGTGGGTTTTCAGCTGCTGATTGACTGGAGATTCTGGTGTAGTGATTGACTGAGACTCAGTTTCTTGATTCCAGGGACATTTGTTTTGTTTGGGTTAGAATTTGCTTATACATCCACTAGGTGACAGTATATTATGTACAGGGACCACTTTGAGCCAAACTTTACCCAAATATGGAGCCAGTTTGAAGCCAAAATTACTTTTTAAAACACTTTTAACTTATTAAAATTTTCTTTTATCAGTAAAAGTATTCCTTGTGACAGCCCTTAAAACTGCCACTCAGCAGTGCATTAGACAGACGATGGCTCAGAATGATTACCATAGACATAGAAAACATAGATTTGATCTAATTGGAGGTCACAGAAATCTTCATGGCACAGATAGCATTCATGTTGAGTTTTTTTAAGAAAAAAGAAAAAACCCAAAAAGGTAGAAACAATACAGAATTTCAAACAAAATATTAACACTAAGAGATCAGTAGTTGATAAATTACATATTATCCTCTTAGAGATAATTGTTCAAGTTACAAAATCAAAGCATAAAAAGTAGATAGACACTCAAACATTGACAGTGCAAACCATTCTGTTCAATGATCTAATGAAAACTTATTAATGTGGTCACCTATCTTACACACTTAAACATACATACAGTTATATCCTTTAGAGCATTTTCCTTCCCTTTCAGTTTTACAATATCTATTATACATTTTGGATTTTATTACTCTTTCAGTTTTTATTATTTTTTACACTAGAGAGACAATGTGGTATTTACAAATGTGAGTCTTACTTATTTCACGTATGAAGATACTCTCAAGTTGCCTCCATTTACCTTTAAGGGCCTCAAGATCATCCTTTTTATAGATGAGTAATATTCCATTGTATAAAAATACCATATCTTTTTCATCCATTCTGTGGTTGATAGGCATTTTGGTTGTTTCCAAGATTTAGTCAGCACAAATTTTGCTGCTATTAACATGAGCGCACATATATTTCTGTGACACGACCGTTTCAATTTTTTCTGGAAAAATACCCAGGAGGGGAATAGCTGGATTGAATGGAACTTCCAATGCTAATTTTTTGAGGAATCTTCATACTGATTGCCATATGGCTGCACCAGTCTACACTCCCAACAATAGTGGAGCAGTGTTCCTTTTTCCCCACAGCCTCACCAACATTTGTAATTAGTTGATTGCTTGATGGCAGCCATTCTTTCCAGAGTGAGATGAAATCTCAATGCTTTAATTAATATTTCTTGAATGACCAGTGATGGTGGACATTTCTTCATTTATTTATTTGCCATTTGTATGTCTTCATCTGAGAAATGTGTGTTCATCTCAGATGCCCATTTTTGGAGAGGTTCTTTGAATTTGCTGGGGAGCTTGATGTTTTTCAATTCTTCATGTTTTTTGGATATAAGTCTTCATCTAAGCAATTGTTGGCTAAAATTCTTTCCCATTCTGTGAGTTTTCTTTTCACTTTGTTGGTGATTTCTTTTGAAGTACAAAAACTTTTTAATAAGGTGAGATCCCAGTTGTTGATACTTTGAAGTATTTCCCATGCAGTTTGCGTTTTGTTCATGAATTCTCTGCCTACTCCTATGTCTCCAAGATTTTTACCTACCTTGTCTTCCAGTAGATTTAGTGTTTCTGTTTTAATATTTAGATCTCATGTTGAGTTTTGATAGATCATCATTTCTGCAGGCCTGGGTGGGGGGTAAAAGGGAATTCTCAATAAAAGAACTAGTTTAGGCAATGTGTTATATGGACAAAGGTACAGTTTAGTTGGGATCAGGACACATGCATCCAACTGGTCAATTACATGCCTGAAAAAGTGCACAGTAAAGAGAGTGCTGAATGTTCATCTAAAATTAAAGCTAACTTTAATATTTTACTAAGCGTGTGCCACGTACAGTACTAGATATTTTGTGTTACCTTCATGACCTTACGGTGCAGTAATAGGGAGTCCTTAATGGAGAATCATTGTTTTCACAGCTATGGTTTGAATACGATTTGTCCCCACCAAAACTTACATAGAAATCTGATTGCCAGTGTAATGGTGCTGAATGATGGAACCTTTAAAAACTAATTAGATCATATAGGTTCCAGCCTCATAAATGGACTGATGTCTTTTTTAAGAAGCTTGGTTAAACTTTTTGAGAACTGCTTAGCCCTACCTGGAGTGAATTGGGTCTCACAAGCCTGGAACAGGTGAACCTGTGGCACATGTGCTGCTGCAGGCTTTTTGTGTCATTGAAAGCTCTAGAACCTTGCCATCGTTATTATAGAGCAAAGTTGCCCTGATGTTTGGTTTTTGCCATGTGTGCCTACTGGCTGGGAGAGGCCCAGTAATCCTGATGTCTGCTCTTTGACCTAAGGAGGTGTGAGCTAAATAAACCTTTTTCCTGTCCAAGCTTCTCAGCTTCAGGTGCTTTGTTACAGTAACACAAAGTGGATTACAACATTTACCATCACATATATCAAGGCCTCAGTGCCTGCACTATCTTCTCTGCCTCCTATTCTGGTGGATGAATGACCCTACTCCTAAGGTATCCTTAGTCCTCATATACTGGACCCCACTTCCTTATGTCTAATCAAGGGCTTCACTCCTGTAATTGTCCCCCTATTCCCACAACGCAACACCCTTTCTGTCCTTGTCTAGTAGTGGGTGTGGAGATGCATGCATGAACATATGCTCTCGTGTTCATAAGAACTCATGCTGAGATCCTCTGCCCAAACTATTTCTCTAACCTTGAAATAGCCAAATCCTTTGAAATGGTTGTCTGCGCATACTGGTCCTTCACCACCACCCCACCACTATTTGCTTTCCTTTGAACTTCTGTCCCTTCTTATCCACTAAACTACTCTGATCAGGTCGCTCCTGCTCTCCATGTGGCCGAGCCCACTGGTCACTTTTTCATTGTCATCTTATTGAGACTCTAAGTGGCAAACAGTGCACTGTTCCACTGTTTCCTCCTTAACATTGCTTTTCTTGCCCTGCTCCCTGTATTTATTATTTGTTACTATAATAAAAGCTCACTAACTTAGTGGTTTCTGACAATGTAAATTTATAATTTATTTTCTGTGAGTCAGAAGTACAGCAGAGGTCTCTCTGCTAAAATTATGATCACAGAAAGGCTACGTTACAGCTTGCAGTTACCGGGGAGAATCATTTCCCTGCCTTTTCCAGCTTGAAGAGATTCTCTCTCTCCATCTTCATAGTCAGCAGCACTGATCCTCTGATGGTCCCGCTGTCACTCCTCCTCTCCCTGTTTCTCTTCTGACCCTCATTTCCCTCTTAAGGACCCTAATAGTTACACTGGGCTGCCCCAGAAAACCCAGGATGATTTGCCTGTTTTAAGATTATCTGACTAGCAGACTTAATGTCATCTGTGACTTTTGTTTCACTTTGTCACCTAACTCACTTAGTTCTCGGGCATCTTTGGGAGCCATCATTTCTATTTGCTACACCCTCCTGACTTTGATCCCCACCACCCAGCCTTTTCTCAGTCTGCACTGCTGACTCATTGCAGGCTAAACTTTCAGTATCAGAATTGAACACTTGCCTAAGTCCTTTGTATCAAAACTCTAAGTGATTACCGTAAGTAATCACATTTATTGCCACAGCTCCAAACTCCATCTTATGACTCTATAAAGCTCACCTTCATCTTTGGCCTCATTACTGAGCTCCAAACTCTGTGATCCAACTGCTCCACGAGGAAAACAGTTTCTAATAGGCAATGTAATGTACAGCCCAAATAGAGCGTCTAATACGCAGCCTCCATTTATCCTCCAAACCCTCCTCCTCCAGGATTCCCCATCTCTGTAAATGGTCCCAGTCGAATAAAGCCTGATTGTCATCCTCGAGTCTTCTCTTTCCTTAAACCTCTCATCCTGACCAATAATAAATGAGGTCACCTCTGTGTCCAGTACCTTCCAGCTCCAGCTGCCTCTCCTCAACCATGCAGCCTCTGCCTCATGCCAAGTGCTTTCCACCTTATCCCACTGCAAGTTTGCTTGCTCTCAATCACTTTGCTTTCAAAGATCCAAATCACTTCATGTCACTTCCCAGCTCAAACCCTGCAGCAGCACCTTGTCAGACTTAAGAACTTGCATCCCCTGTGGCTGAGCAATTGCACATCCAAGACCATTGTCCAGGGAAATAATCATAGTGTGTCAAAAGGCACAGGAACATTCATTCACAAAAACATTTTAGAAGTCAAAATTAGAGTTTATG